ACTTTTTTATTTTTTATTTTATGTATATGCATGCATTGCCTGCATGTAGGTAAGTGCGCCCATGTCGTGCAATGCCCGCAGAGGACAGAAGATGCTGTCGAATCCCCTGGAACTGGAGTTACAGACAGTTGCTAGCTGCCATGTGGGTCCTGGGATTCAAATCCAGGTCTTCTGCAAGAACAGTCAGTGTTCTTAACCGCTGAGCCATCTCTCCAGCCCCTCGCCCCTCTCAGTTACTTTTTCTTCAGGTATGGAAGACAAATTGGTGGCTGTTTCAAGTTCTTGCAGGGTAGTAGATTGGTCAGAGTCCTGGCTGAGCAAGTCTGTCTACCTGATCTAGAGGCTGGGAAGTTGGTGGTGGGGGGCTGCCTGTGGAGGGACTTAGAGATCTAGGGTAGGGTGTTTAGCTAGTCTGGGTTAGGAAGCTAGTCCAGGGATCTGAAGTGAAGGAGTTGGAATGCACGTGCAATGGAGGCTGCCAGGGGACAGAGTGGGAATAGATGAGAGGAATGGAGTAGAGAGGCAGAGGGAGGGATCTGATTTACCAGAGTCCTGACTGAGCAGCTCTGTGTCCCTGATTCTGAGGCTGGGAAGTTGGAGGTGGGGGACTGCCTAGGGAAGGACATAGGGATTTATGGTAGGGTGTGTAGCTAGTCTGGGTTATGAAGCTAGTCTAGTGATCTGAGGTAAAGGAATTGGAGCCTGCTTGGGTCCGAGGCTGGGAGAGGATGGGGGGGTGAGTGAGAGGAATCAACATTTCAGAAATTTTAAGTATTGTATCAACGGCACGAATTATTTGACTAAACTGCTCATTTGTGTCTTTCTTAAAATCTTCTGAATTTCTCAGTTTCCAGTAGTTCGTCAGCTAAGGTTGGGGCTTCTTCCCCACTTACCCATCTCCATGTTGGAAATTTTCTGGTTTGAGCTTGCACGGGTCTTGTGCATGCTTTTACCATTGCTGTAAGTTCATATGAGTATCTTCCCAGCTGTCTAGAAGACACAGTTACTTCTGGTCATCAACCTCCTCTGGCTCTTACAGTCTTTCTACCCCCTCTTCCAAAATGAATTTTGATCCTTGGTTTGGATAGGTTTGATATCAGTATCCTACTCAGATATAAGCGCTCTGCAGTCTGTTCTTCACTGATCTTTGGCTAGATGGGAGAGGGAGATTCATTCTTCTTTAAGGGTGTGATGTGTGATGCTAGATAGGTTAACCATTCTCCAGTGGATGTACTCACGTCGAAGGACATTTGGAGACACAAATTTGACTCAACAGGCCTTTATACGTGTGACAGAGTACATGAAATCTGGCAAGGGCATCTATCAGAGGAGTACAGATATGGGAGGGATCTAAATATGTTCAAAATATATTGTATGAAATTAACAAAAATTCAGTAAAATTAATTTCAAAAAATCCTTTGAAATTTTCTTCCAATCACCCCAGCTGAATGTCTCTGGGTTCACATGACATCTTGCACCCCCCATCCCAGTTAAGGAGCACCACATTGGCTTCCAAACCCACTTACCTCTTCCTGAGTTCAGTGTGGTATCCTGTAACCTGCCTCCAGGGAACACTGCTCACTCACACTGTGACCCAAGTCCCTACCACTCAAGGACACTTGTAGAACCTAAAGAGTCATCCAGAGTTCTGAAGATTGACAGTGAGAATCTTCCAACCCTAGAGATGTTTTGCTCCAAAGCCCGGAACTGCTCTTATCCTTAGTTGTACTGAGCCTACTTTTGAATCCCCATTTACACATCAACAGTTACCCCAAAATTGAATGTCAAACACCATTCAGCTAGTCACTTGGTAAGTTCGGGAAACAGCAAACAAAGATCCAAATACCTACTCAATGAAGGAGAGACAAGATAGCCATATCAAGAAGCACCACCAACAATCTAAGTACAGGTGCTTAGTGTTCCATCAGATAAAAGCATCTTTAATAACCAAGGCTGTATGTGTTTTTCAGAAATTAGTATATCACTGGCAGTGCATCCTGAGAAGTCCAACTTAATTTATGCAGGAGACAAGAATTTCAAAATAGTGATTATCAGTATGATCAAGGGGGAATCTGCAATTGGCGCAGAGTCCAAGTAAGGCAGCACCTTCCCCCCCTTCCCCATCATCACACCCAAATACCAGATGCTCCCCTCAATCAGTGATTCCACATTTTCCTGACCCTTGGCCTTCATTCAGGGATTCAGTCTCTGGATAGCTGCACAAAAGGAACTCTGCAGTTCCCCTAGTGGTCCCAGAGACTCATGTCTGGGTTCTCTGCCTACCTGCTACCACGCCAAAACAGTGCGCTGCTACCTGCCAAGGATACCCAATTCTTTCTGACTAGCCCCCGTGCCTCACTTCAGGAGTTGATCAACAAAAGATAGCTTCACCATGGAACGTAGAATCATCCCATGTGGCTCAGAGACCCAGGTAGGACATCCTAACCCCCTGGTATCACTTCAATGCCCTGCTGTTTACCAGTGATCCCCCACTTTTTCATGACCCCCACTTTCTCCTTGTAATTTGAATGTCCCGAGACAGTTGCACACCAGGGACTCTTGTCACACTACATGGCCTTGAGACCCAGGTATGCAGCCTTTGAACAGCTGCCTTCACCACAGTGCCCAAAGCCAGTTCCATGTCATCATCAGGAGCACAAGGGTGGCTCCATGTTAACCTCAACTCTTGTACACATGAACAGAAACTTACCCCCTGCTGCATCTATAACTTATCGCCTCACTCCATAACCCATCACCACTGGGTGCAGAGACTATGAGGGGTCATGAGACATCAAATACAGAGGCTTCCATCCCAGCCTCCACCTTACCCAATTCCAACAGAGGTTGGTGTGCAAATCTACCCCTGACCTCAAGGGAACAGGCCTAACTCACTGTAACACCCAGTTCCCAATACTGAAGGTCTGTGAACACCTTGTCAGTGTTGTACAATGTTTTGAAGGTTGGAAATAAAAATCTGCTAA